TATAAAATATAATATATATATATATATATATATATATATATATATATATATATATACACAGGTTTATTAGCTTAGGTAACCGTATACTAAAATTTTAGTTTACAAAAAATATCTTTTTACACACACACACACACATATATATATATATATATATATATAATATAATCCGAAAGTTTTTATACCATTTTAATTATGGTTAAATTTATATATAATTTAATGTAATTAATTTAAGATAAATTGTTTTACTGCTTTTGAATATAATTTATATCATCTTAACAAACATTACTTAGTACGCTTAAAACTATGTATTTTATAAATTTATAAAAAAATATTTAGTTATAATTTTTTGTATGCTACCACTTAGATATTTCAAATTTAGACTTTTATTTTAATTTCTCTTTTTCTTTTATGTATAATAGGATTCAGAGTTAGAATTTAGAGTTTAGAATTAAAAAAATTAATGGAAAGACAAAACTAGAATAAGTTATGAGTTCAATTTGTATAAGTGAATGATGTCACTGCTATAAAAAAAAATCTTTAAAAAAGAATTTTTTTATTAATTTTTCTATTTCTATATATTTAAATTCAGGTTTAGATTCCTCCATCTTCACTTCCCTTATTATTTTATTCTCTTTTAAACCAAAACATTTTCAATAACGATTATTTTAATGATGATTTTTTATACTATCATTTTATAATAATAACCTTTTTATTACAATAAAATAAACTTGCCTAAAATAGTGTCAAGACGAAGGTTTTTGATATAAGAAATTTTATATATAAAATTTTTCATCCATATCATACTCATTTAAATCGATTTCAATAACAAATAATCTGTTAACTTTTTTTAAAGTATTCATATATAAAAAAAGTTGTAATATATAGAATTTCAAAGATTAAAAATGAAAAAAAAAATTTACTATATAAAAAAAAACTCCTTTGAAATGTCTTTAAACAAATTTCCTTACAAGAATCTAAGAGGAATTTTAAATCTCTTTTTTAAAAAATGATTAATTTAATTAATTATATATATTTAAACCAAATAAAACTTACTCATTATTTTAAAGTTAACTTTTATTAACTATTATAAGTAATAATTAATTGTTTTGTCATTAAGTTCATATGAGAATTAATCATTAAAAAAAATAAGTAATAATATTATAAAGAGCAATTTCTTAAACAAATTTAAATTGAATGAATCTTTACCCCAATATGAATACGATCTCAACATGAGACATGCTATATAAGACCTCAAAATATGTATACGTTAAAACTAGGTTTAATATCTTTTTTGTCCCTCGAGACAAATGTTCAATTGCGTCCTACGTTTTTTCGAAGTTTATGCAATTAAGTCCTTTTTGGTAACGAGTTAATTTCTTGCAACTGTACTGTTAAAAAATTAACGCCGTTACCAAAAATGGACTTAATTACACATTTTTTTTCATAAGTCGGGAACACATTGAACTTCGAAAAAAACGTACAACGCAATTGAACATTTGCCGTCTTTCCAAGAACCAAAAATGGTATTAAACCTTAAAACTACTATAGTGGTATTAAGATATATGATATAGTGGTATCCTCTTAAAAGAAAAAAAATAAGAAATCTTGAAATTTACCTTGAGTTAAAATACTACAATAAATTAGGTTGTTTCACACCACTCGCTTCTGAAGCTGTTGCTATGCGGAGTTCTGGAATTACACATTCTTTTTCTTTTCTTTTAATTACAATAATAATTATAACAATATAATAACAGAAAAAAGAGGGACAATCATGGTTTATCTCGCCGGTGCCGGATACAACGCAGTCGTCGGAATGAATAATCGGAGGCCAAAATTCTTTACGTCAATTATACCGAACAGCATAATTTCAACGCTATACGACGTCGCTTTTCTGTGTCGGTGTTGCAGAGAACATGACTTCAGTAGCACTTCTGAATCAGCTTGGACAGATTTTCCCGTAGAGAACGCCTACGAGCTGTTAGGAGTGTCTGAGACCAGTTCCTTCACCGAAATTAAAGCATCGTTTCGAAAATTGGCCAAAGAAACTCACCCAGACCTCGCTGGGTCAAGCAGTGATTCCAGTGTGTCTCGACGATTTGTGCAAATTCTGGCTGCTTATGAGGTTTGTGCAAATCATGCTCAGGCATATGAATTATGATTAGCGTCTTTCATGACTATAGCCTCAATCGAAGGTGTAGAGGTGATTTTATTAGAGCTTGAATACAAACGAATCAACCATGCTTGGCTTGTAGAAGAATGCCCTATAATTATGTTGAGGGGATATTTCCTTGAAGGTGGTGTTTAGTGGGCTGAATAATTAGTTGTTTGAATATCCTGAGTACGAAGTTGATAATTAAATGCATGTGAAATTGAGAAATAACATACTCGTAATAACGTTTTGACAGTTATTTTGTTTCTCCATTGCATCTGTTTAGTTAGCTCTTGATCACAGAAAAAATTGTCAAATTGATGCAATGAGTTATTAGAAACTCCCCTGGATACTGATATGAATAATGTGAACAACTGTCGCTTTCTCTTGAAGGATTTTTGGCATCCAATAGTTCAATCAAATGAAAAATAAGACGGGAAGTTGCTTAATGGCTATCAATGTTTGAATAAATAGCATCAATTTGATAGATCTGCTCCTGCCATTCTGGTGTTCAATTACTATATTGTTCTTGTACGCATTTGCTTTACCGGAACACGGGCCAAGTTAATAGTGAGACAAACTGATTGTGTGTATTTTTTTTCTTCAATTTCGGAAATGTTATACGGTCTAATGCATATTCTGTTGGTGCTTTTTGCTGATTTGTTGCCTACAATGTGTTCATCCTATTGGCAAGATGACCACGTACTTCATGATTTTAACTTCTGGAATTTTACAGAATATAAATTGAGTTTGTGTGGGTAACTAGAGTCTAGAATTAGGTTTTACCTTGGCTACATCACAGGGAATACTGATTGTCTATGATGCATTGCAGATTCTTTCAGATTCTCAAAAGAGAGCCCATTATGACATGTACCTGTTGTCTCAGAAAAAGCTTATGCAAAAGCATTCTGAACAGGGTTCAAAATTGTATATTTACAAATCACAAGCTACTACGTTAAAGGAGATGGAAGTTGTTGAATGGTTAAAATGGTACAGATTAACTATAAATAATATTTTGTCAGAAAAGAGGGTGGTAGATGGAACAGGCTATTTTGATGTACTTGAGAGAGATTTTTATTCAGCTATTCATGCAGCATACTATGGTCCTGAAATTGATTCTATGCCCATGGAATTTCTTCCTGACTGCTTTGAGGCAGAGGAGAGGTCTTCTTATGAAACTCCTGAGGTTTTGCACTTAGTTTCAGGTCGTGATCTTTTCGGAATGGTTTGCCTAGCCAACAAGGTTCCAGAGATATCAACAATTAGCAATGAAATGTTAGCATCTTTTAGATCCTTCCATTCAGGCCCATGTCAATCTGTAACAAATGTGAATGACTACAGGAAAGCAGAAAGATCAGATGATTTTGAAGCCTATCAAGGTCTCGGCTCTGAAACTTCAAGTATTGTATCAGATGCATATAGACATCTTGAATTGCACATATCAGGAAGAGTTGTTGCTACAGCATCTAGGACCCTACCTAGATGCTGTTCTGATGTAATGCAGACAGAAGATACTGAAGATCACATTCAAGTGTTCCTTAACTTATATGAAGATCCCAAACATATCATGAGTGATTTTTGGAAAGGCTACCTAGCAAATGGTGCAGTTGGAAGAAGAATTCATTTGGGAACTATATCTGGACTTGGGAGCAGTCCGGATGAAGGTTGTTGTTATGTTTACAATGACAAGGGCACAAAGACCCATGCGATTATGAAGCATAGAACATTGATGGTATGTAATGTTGCTTACCCATGGTCTTGATGCTTTAACATTAGCCTCTTTGGGGAGATATTTCTTTCTTACTTCAGTCAAACAGTACAGTCTGTCTTATATAAAAAGAGAAATAGTATGCCATAATGGCAGATTACAACTACAAAAAGGAATCAGGAGAGGTTCCCGTCACAATATAAACACAATAAAGGTTGATTACCCAATTTATAAAATATTTACTGTCTAATCTAATCAATCAGAATACTTACAATGATGAAATCCATAATATTTACTGACTATTATAATAATAGATTGATTCTAACAATCAAGATGGAAATTTTACTTTTGCATTAGTATTAAGTCTTGTTTGTTTTTATTTCTAATATTTTCGAATATAAGAAACATGGTTTGCGTTTCGTGATCTTGCTAGAAACTTATTCATTTAACTTTATATAGCTAGATGCTTACAATTATGTCATGTTATGATAAAATGTTCAGGTGAAGCATATGCACTGGTATCAGGTGGGTGAGAAAGTTTCAGTTTGCGAGTGTAGATGCACTAGAGCACATTTACCACCAAGCAAGTAAAGCTCTGACATCTCTCTAATTGTATTGATGTTTGAGTTTGGCACAACAATCTCTTTGGGGCTCATTAATGCGTATACCCCGATGCTGTCTGCTCTTTTATCATTTGATAATTTGTTTGTCTTTTGTTTGGGTGAACATTGGATTGTTTCCTTGTAAATAAGGAAACAAATTCCGTGTTAATTTCTTTGTCAGAACTTATGGTCTTTTATGTTCACCAGTCTTCTCTTCCCATGTCTCTCGCCCCCCACCCACCCCCACAGTTCTCTAAGTGTTAAGCTAAGCATTGAAGCAATTTGGCCATTGGGTTAGTTAACTTCCAATTATCTAGAAAAATAGTATTTGTACACCTCCTCGGGAAAAAAACCAGAATTGATGGAATAATAGTGGTTTGTGGATTTATTACTCAGAAGTCTTTCTGTATAACCAGAACTGCTTCTAACTGCAAAGTTAAACTAATTGCTGTGTCTCAAGATTATTGAAACTTTCCGTGATGCCTCAACTTGTTATTTATGAAGATGGAGATTGTTTACTGCTCTCTCATTACTGTTTATAATACATTTTAATAATTTTAATTCCATCATTATACAGATTTTGGCTATTTGAGCCTCGCTGTGGTTTCCATGACATAGGGGGTTGGTACGTTGAGACATATGGCAAAGATAAGCACGGTCGTACAAAGCCATCACAAAGATTTTGGGATGGCTTGGACTATAACATGCAAGCTGACATGTAAGTTAATTTCTTCTATTTTAACTTCATGAAAATTTATTTAATGTTAGTAACAAAAAATTTTCCTTTTAAAACATATGGTATCAAGGATATGTCTGAGTAAATTTCCTTATAAACACTTTTAGGAGAGGAAAATAAGAAGGAAATATAAAGCAAACATTTCCATAAGTAAACATTAGTGTATATATGAGTTAAAAATAATTCTTACAATTAGTTTACGCATAAAATAATATTTAACATATGGAAAAAATCATTTCACTTTTTTTTCTCATTTTTTATTTTTTTAGAAATGTTTATGAAGAAGTTTACAAAACAAATCCCCGATCATTATTATAGAATAAAAGTATACATACATAATTCTATGGATCTTGGGGAAAATTTGTAATGATCACAGACAAAAAGTTGACATTTGCTTTTTAGAATGTGCACCACCACATTTGCTTTTTAGACAAATTTGTTTTGTTTAAACTTTTTTTGAACTTATTGAAGTCTGTTTGACATGCATTTTGGCTTGATAAAGTGGTCAGCACCACGACCACATTTCATATATGTTTTTTAACAAGAATTATCTTGTCACCATTTATATAAAAGACAAGTTGTTAAGAAGTATAAACCTGTTATATAACAACTTCAGCTATGCTCCGCATAATCAATTCTGAAAACTTTTAGTTAACTTTTTCTGCCAGTAGGAATCAAATATCTCCTTTTTAAACTAGTGTCTTCCATTTTGGACATTTAAAAGTGGTAGAAAGTAATTAACATTTTAGAAACTATCTCCCTAAGACCCAACCAAGTATTTACCTGTCAAGTATACTGACTGTAGCAGTACTACAACCTGCAGAAGACTTCATCCAGCAATGTATTTGTTTGCTCTTGCATATCGGACACTTGATCTTGAATACGCTAAAGCAAGCAAGAAATCATTTAGGAATGTTGTTGGAGCACAAATGTTTCGAGTTATTCATTGGTGCAAGAAACTTATTCAATAGGTATGTATCTTGACAATGTTAACAAATTGATTGTGTCCTTGCTAGAACAATTTTGAATGATCAGCAATCACTTAATAATCTCTATTTAGTGATTTTGGAAGAAGATATTGCTGTCAATTTATATTTACAAGATTCTTGGATGGAATGCTCTGTAACTACTGAAAGGAAAACTCATTACAAGCCTCAAGTAGTTCTATGACTTGGTTAGAGGAGATTCAACTTTTCATTTGCCTAGTGATGGATATATTGGGTAAATACTGAAGTCAATTCACTTGGGCAGGGATTGGCTGGAGTCACTTCAACTTTTTATCATGTCTGAGGCTCTTTGAAGCAACATTGATTTTGTCAAAAATATTCTCTTGCGCTACTTGTCTCAGAAATGTTATGCAATCCGAAGGTTCACGGATATACTTCGTGCATTTCTATGCGTACAACACAAATCTGCAGTTGCCTTTATGCGTTGTTAGACAAAGATTCTTTATCTTGCTCAGTGTTATGGAAGCTAGTTGTTTCACTGCACAATGAGTTTCATCCCCTTATTGGAAAGGTCATGAAGCCGGACGGTTTTCTGGAATTTACTTCGACATCATATCTCCTGGTATATAAAATACAATTTCTGCTTACATAGAATTGTCCCTATAGGCATGTGGAACTTACGTCTGTCTACTTGTATAAGTGTATATATTTTAAGAAAGTTTTTCTTCTTTATATTCCTGCCCTCTTAAATTTGTTGTTCTTCTCTCTGGATTTATATGCAAAAAATGACTGCCATGACATGTAGTTTATATTGTCCTGTTATTGTTAGGTTTGATCGTACGTTTCTTCACTCTCTATTTCCGGCTTTGGCTTTGCTTTGAATGACTTAAACGGTTTTCTCTACTAATAGAATACGCCTTGGACCATTGAGTCACCACAATTGCAAACTGCTTTTACTAAATGAAATTGACTACATATGCTTTTCTTTATCCTTTATTTGACCAGATCATCCCATTTGCAGTATTGTCCTCCTGCTAATGCTCGATAATACCTATCCCTACAATAGACAGGTCTTCCATCAGCAGCCTCAGCAGCTGCTGCTGCTAGATCATCATCAGTTATCACCTCCACTGGCAATTTAAGCAACTCCTCTTTTCTACAATATGCATTAAAAAATGCAATCACATTGTGGACAAACTCTGGAAGATAGTAAAGGATCTTTGTGTCTTCTCTTACCTCAGGTTGAGCTTTGTGTTAACCTTGGGAACGGTTTGTTTAATTTCTTCCGTGGAAAAGGTAGTTCGAAGAAAATTCTCCACCGGTGTAGCAAATATAAATAGCATAACTCCTGTGACAAGCAATGCTCCTGTCCCAACTAGAGTTTGCTTCAGCAATTTAACGACTGGTTTAACCTGGGAACATGAAATATACGTCAATTATGCTGCAAGAAATCGAAATTAACATACTGCTCTTCTAGTCTGTATCCAAAATTGTTCTGAATTCAAGCAATGCTGTGATGTTCCGTATCTTGTAAGAGCCCAACAATCTATCACGAGCTAGGATCTGCAAATAAACTCAGTTTTCAGATTATATAGCCTGAAATAAGTATGTCACTGAGTAGTAGTAATGTTTAATAGCACATTTCAGCTACGCTTTATTCTATAACCTTCGTATTCACTATTTCTGAACAAACCTTTTTCTGTTTAATGCTTAATCAGGAAGTGTCTCTTACAATTTTGAGAGGCAAATACAGTTGCTAACCTATTAGTTATTCGAATTTACCAATGTCCCCACTTTTTTTCTCTTAAAAGGCCAGTAGTTGATAAAATTTTATCCTTGTTCCTACCTGACAAATCCTGCTGTAAGTAAAATCATCAATTTGTCGGTTTCAATGTATATAGCGCACTGACTCTATAGCCTTTGGTACTTTTGTTCCGTTCTTAGGTACAGTAAGAATGTGTAAAAGAGGCTAACCTCGGGCGGCTTGACCCACATCTGCCCGTCATACCATCCACTTTCTTCATAAGGGATGACCGCTGATAGAAGTCTATCACCAACATAACTCCAACCCTGCATTGTTATTCAATTATCTTAATTGCAACAGTTATTTAACGGTGAAGGTGCTGAGGCCATATTCCAGTCATTTAATCATAAGGTATAGTTAGTGTGAATGACAAACAGATTACATTCAGTTGAAAACCTCATTATGTTGTGCACTTGGCAACTATACAAACACCATGCATGAAGACTACACAGAATAGTAAATTCGTTTTGAAATCTCTGTCTGCCTCACCGTCATCTCCCGTTCCCCAGTACTGAAGTGATTGTGACATGAAAAACAAAAAGAGTAGTAGAACGCACCAAATAAATCCTCAAGACGATCAAAGACACAATGAAGAGCGTTCCTGTTCCAGCAGCTAGTATAAATCTTAGAGGCTCCTGCAAGATTTTGACAGTTGATGCAAGTCAGAGGAATTTTTATTAGCCACTTTATAAATGTTTTTGTTTGTGTGCAGCTGGCAGGTATCCTTGTCCATACATCAAAACATCTTTGTGTTTACTTGATTTGATACCCAATTACATGCACATATTTTATCTTCCTTACTCTAGAAGGATTAAAGCTTGCAGCCGCAATTGGCCCTCCAAGAACTGTAAACACTCCCAACCAAAGACCTCCCAGGCGAAGGAAGAACGACCCCGGACCCAGTTCCCCCCAAGAGTACAATACTCCATCCTTCAGAGATGAGTACTCATTTACCTATCACACAGCAAAATCAAGGTTAGCAAACATACCTCAGAAGAAATGAAATGAGCTTTACTGAAACAATAACGCTAACTAATAATTAATTTTAATCCCATCCCATGACCTTATCCAACTAACTAGTTAGATTCGGCCATAAAATTCATGAACTGACATTATACCATGCTAAATCTGTTGATTTTGAAGATCATCTAAAGAAAACACTCATTGCTATCATTGGTCAGTTTACACCTACCGGTCTCTGCTCAAAAGGGACCTCAATTTCCAACCCAGGATCCCAGCTACGTCCTGAAGATCCGCTTGTTTCTCCATCCATCTCATCTTTGATGGCCTTAGCCTTGATTGAAATCCGATGAGGAAATTTTGAAGCTTTGTGATTATGGATGATCAACGAGCCATAGCTGCTGCCTGGTCTGGCTTGTCTTGCACTTGGAATTAATGAACAGTAGAGATTTAGTCTAATCATTATTGGCTGAGTGTAAGCTATCACCAGCGCTGCAGAACAGTGGAGGAGGAGGAGGAAGAAGAATAAGCTATTATGATCACTGATTTACGTGGAGGAGGAGAACAAGAAGTTAAAGACTGTATTTTCCAGATTTTGAAAGATGAGTGAGAGACCCTATGTGGCCCTAGCCAACCTCTTTGTTATGTGGACAAGCTTCTTGTCCACGTGGGCTTCTTGGGTACCGTCCATCTCATGCGGTTAACACCCATGGGACTTAGATTATCCGAACCAAATGCATTTCATGCTTTTATATTTTTGTGGTCTCTAGAAACGCCAAGGGAGCAACGTGGCCGCGGTTCCCTTGCACGCAAATTCGTATTTGTTTCTGTTGCCTGCACGCAGTGAGAACAAGCATGACCAATTTGGCAAAACGACGGCACATCCACCATCAGTATCATCAGCCTGGCCAAATAAAGCGGGAGTTCTAAAAATTTGTATATTTTTCACTGCTATGTAGACATATAATTATTTACGGTTAAACCACTTTAGTTGTGTTATGGGTATTTTTCAGTTTGATTTCGTTTTTATAGAATTTCTAATTGAGTCCTAAAAAGTGTTAATTTGAATCAATTAGACTCCTATCACTAAATTGGTTTAACGAGATTAAATTTTTTATTAGCTGGAACGTTGACGTGGCTAATTTTTTAAAATCATTGACACATCATTCTGTCACGTCAGCATCATCTTTCCCAACAGCACAAACCTCATTTTAATTTATATTTTTCCAAAAGAAAAATTTTCTACAGAACCCTACTTATACTTGTTTTTCCCCATTATAGTTTGTTCTTGTTTCTCGAACAAAATCCAGCTTTGGGTTCTTCTTCGGACATAGTCTCCTCCTCTTCCTCCGTTTTGGTTAAAGCCGCGTCACAAGAGGGAGGCTCCCTTCCTTTTCTTTATTCTGTTTCTTCTTGAAGTATGTGTTTTGTGGCTAGGGAGTGAGTTTTTTGTGCTCTTCGTCTCTGTGGTTCGCTTTATAGATAACCATCATTCTTCTCTTCTTTTTCTTGGTACCATTGCGGCTTTGCAGGAAAGGGAAAACACCTTTCTTTTACCTTTGCTCTGGTCTGGGTTGGGTTTTTTTAGGGAGGAGAGACGAGTCCCGGCGGCCTAGGCTCGACCTCCGTCTTCGCGGCACAGTGATATCACGACAACAAGGCCTCCATGACGCGAGTGTTCGTGCTAGATGTTCCCACAGAGTGAGTTTCTGGGTTGATGACGTCTTCACGGTAACGCGATTCGACGTGACCGGTGCTGGATTCGCGGGGTTCAGCTGCTCGCGTTTTGGGTTTTCTCTGTGTTTTGATTCACGTTTCAGGGTTCTGTGCTTGCAATTTATTTTTGCAAATTAGGGGCTAGGGTTTTCGAACTGGGTTTTGAGTCTTTTTCTGGATTCTAGTTCATTGATGCAGATTGGTTTGTTGTGCGAAAAAGAAGACCTTGGTGGTTGTCGCTTGTTAGAGATTTCTGTGATTGCGTTCGATTTTTGCAATTTGGGGTTTGATTTTCCTTTTTCGTTTATGTTGTTGCAATCTGGGGTTTGTGCGGTTGACGTGGCAGAGTGATGTGTCAGTGGTTTTAAAAAATTGGCCACGTCAACGTTCTGGCTCATAAAAAACTTAATCTTGTTAAGCCAATTTAACGCAGGGGTCCAATTAATTCAAATTAGCACTTTTTAGTACTTAATTGGGGATTCTAAAAAAACGGGGATCAAACTGGGAAATACCCGCGTAAATAGGGACAACTAAAGGGGTTTAACCAATTATTTAATTATCATGAAAGGATTTTGTTTTCTGTCTATATTTTAGTGGTTCAGCCTCTTAGACGTCCGCCCCTCTTAGACGTCCGCCCTGGGAGGGGACGGACGTCTACGAGGCAGAACAAATGAACGCTTTAACTCCCCTGTCAGCTCATTAAACGTCCGTGGGGAGGGGCACGGACGTCTATAATATTATAGACGTCCGACCCCCTCTCCACTGACGTTTAAGGGGCTGAAGACAATTAATTCTTCAACCACCTTGTCAGCACCCTAAACGTCCGACATGGGGGGCCGGACGTCTATAATATTATAGACGTCTGTGCCCGTCCTGCACGGACGTTTAATAGGCTGACAGGGGAGTTGAAGCGTTCATTTGGTTCAGCCTCTTAGACGTCCGGGCCCCTCCCACGGACGTCTATTTATAGACGTCTGTTGTGGGGGGGGGGACGGACGTCTAGAGTTTCACTTATTTATGAATATGCCACCGATCAATATTTTACGTTGGGGCTTTTGTGGACGGACGTTTATGGGGGGACGTTAAAAGCCAATTCTGCACTAGTGATTATACCTATAAGGTTACAATCAAAGATACAATTTTTTTTGCAAAACTCTGCAGGACGACTATCAAATATTGATATTATGGCTGATAAGTCAGAAGTTGAGGACTAACTACTACTGTTTCTTTGAAGTTCTTTACACGCCTTTAACATGTCATAAAAAGACTAGGAGGCTAGTGTATTGTATATGGTTGAGTACCCCTCGACCACATCAATATTGGTCTCGACCTTAGATGATGCTATGCAAATTACAACTGAATATGTCCTAAGTACCTACATGTAAACATATATAGTAAGCGGCATGGTCAGTTACTTAAAGGTCTACTATAACTAGTGACATACCGACTACTTTGTAAATGTTATTAAAAAATGATCAAACACTTGTTTTGATAAGGTAAATGAGCCACTTAGCTCAAACTCATGACCATTCAGGTAAGAGTCCACAAACATCATAAATAATATTATCAATAATATCACTATCGAGGTATTTTATTTATGTTATTATTAATTACACATTTAATATTCTGCTGACTTGAGAAGCTAACATTGAAACGTTATAACCTCATTCATCTTACAAAAGACAAGGATGAGGAGGAAGACAAATATTTTAAAAGTTGAAAGTTAAAAATATTCATAGAGTTGTTGAAACTTTTGCCGTACATCTTTAATTATGTAAAAACAAAACTATATAATTACGTAAAAAGAAAACCATATAACTATAAAAAAAAGTTATGTAAAAACAAAACCATATAGTTATAAAAATGTTATGTTGATGTTGAGTTATGATATCATTGTACACATCATAAAAAAAAATTGTCAAAGATGTATATTCATGATAGTTTGATAGCTGTTTTTTATTATATTTAAGTTGGATAAAATTCTAATAAAAATTACAAAACAACCACCAAGGAATATTAGCACAACCTCTCCATTAATGAAAAATCAACTTACACAGTCATATCTCTATTATTATATTTAAGGTGAATAAAATTCTAATAAAAATTCAAAAACAATCCCAAGTCACTACGTTTAATGTTAGCCATAACCTCTCCATTAATGAAAAATATGAATTTTTGTCATTAAGTGTAAAATAGTAAATAAGTCGAATTCAATTTAGTTTATTTATTATTTTATTTACATCTTTATTGAAAACATAGATAAGATGAAAATTTACTATTTAAAAATAAATTTAATTTAAATAGTATCAAATTTTGTCTTAATTTAATGCGAATTTACTACAAGAAAAATTGACGGTCAAAATTTGTCGGTGGTATAAAATTCGTTGGCAAAATAAAATATTGATGACTTACTCACGACCAAAAATCTGTCGGTAAATTTTACTGATAAATTTTTTATTTTGTCGGTAATTACCAAAGAAAAAATTCATCGGTAAATATTGCTATCTGATTCATCTTCTTCCTTGCTTTCCCTCTTCGTCTCCTTCTTTCTTTCATTTTTATCAATTAAGAATCGTTGTATAGTGATGGAAAACATTGAATTTAGTTATTTCAGTGAAAAAAAAGCATTTTTATCAATTTTTCTTCTTCTATCTTTCATCTTCAAACATTTTACCAATCCAAAATCATTACAATGGATAAAAGTGGTATTGGATAATGGTGACAATGCTTGAAGCATGAAAGGGAAAGAACAAAAACGACGTTACACGATGGTGACAGTGCTTGAAGTGTGAAAAGGAAAGAAAATAGGCATTGTCCTCTCCCTGCGCGTGTTAGAGAAGAAGATGATGGAGTGAAAGACCTTAATGACATCGATGGAGACAGAGATGACAACCTGAGTGAACGAAGAGGAAGGTGCGTCAAAACTACCATGACTTGAGCTAAGATGGAGACATAGGGGAGTGCAGAAGCTCAATAGTCGAAAATGAGCACTACGAGAGAGGGCAAAATAAATAATACTAGACAAAGGAGAAAATGGACGGAAAATATACATTATTGATAGATTTTTTCGTCGGTAAGTAAAATATACATTATCAATGAACATTACAGACAAATTTTTATCGGTGAATGAAATATTCATTATCAACAAATTTTATTTAGAAAAATTTTTCAATTGATGAAATATATATTATTAACGAAATTTACCGACGACTTTTTTGGTAGATAAAAAAATTAAAATTTGTCGATAATATACATAAGTAATTCAAATCTACCGACATATATATATATTTATCGGTAAAATTCCATCGATAATTTCAAATTTTTTTTGTAATCATATAAATATAAAATCAATTAAAAATAAATGTAATCATCCTTACTACCTTACTTATCTTCTAACGATAGTCGAAGAAAAAGAAATTAAACAAAGTAGAACCGCAATTTATAATTTGAAATCTGATGGAGAGGACTTGTTAGCAATGTTACAGTAATTTTGTTTATGAGGATTTTCCAGATTTATAGCTAAAGTCATTGGCATTTGGATTCGATTAAAATGCCAGATGGTTTTAAGCCAATTCACGTTCCAACAGTAAAATAAACTCAATAATATTTTTACAGTATGTGAAGCGAATCAATGCCAGGGACAAACACGCCAATAACTCCACATGACACATTTTGTAAGAGTCAATGTTGTAACATTTTCTTATAACTCCACGACAAAGGAATCAATGCATAGGTGAGGGATTTCTAGCAGTTGGTATTCCGAACGAGGGATACAAAAAATCATAAAAATGTTTCAAAGTTTAGAAATTTAATATGAATTGAAAGTTTAATATTGAATAAAATAATAAAGATATAAATGTATAAATAAAAAATGTATATATTTATTATTTCAAAATTTTAGGTTGAAAATAATTTCCTAATCTCTTACATCAATTTGTTTACCATATAAAATCTTTATGATGTTTCTTTTAAAAAAAATCTCATAAAGCAAAAACTGTGGAGTGGAAGGAAAAATTGTCCATTTAAAAAAGAATAAACCGTTAAATGTCAGTGACATAAAGACTTTGTCAAAGAAAATGTTAGTATTTAATGTGAATAT